GTGGGAGTTCAGCGTGTTATGATTGCCCCATTTCTGAGTTTGGGCCTTTATTTACTCTGTCTTTGGACCCAGTTGGTCTATCATGTTAAATCACTATTGTTAGTTTTTAAGGGACACTGTTTCTACATTTGCACAATTGTGTTCTCAGTTGTCTCTGGTTTCCTCAGATTTCTACTTAAAAAAAAAAAAAGCTAGTATCAGAAGTCAGAGATTGGCTGCTTCATGTCATATTTCTTTCTTCTTTTTTTTTTTAGATTCACAGATATTAATGATTCCTTGGGAAAACTGGACTTCAGCCGCCTTTCTCCATCTAAAAATGACTATTGGGCCATGCTGGCTTACAACCGGTCCAAGCTCTGCAACATTCTCTTCTCCAATGAGCTCCATCGCCGCCTGTCCCCGCGTGGGGTCACGTCCAATGCCGTGCATCCTGGAAACATGATGTACTCCTCCATTCATCGCAACTGGTGGGTGTATACACTGCTGTTTACCTTGGCCCGGCCTTTCACCAAGTCCATGGTAAGTGAACGGCTTCTATCGCCGCAGACACTTTAAGTGCGCTCTTTATGGACACACGCGTTTTCTTCAGCTTCTCGCCTCTTGTAGTGTTAAGTCTGGTCTTGACAGTCACATCCTCAGGCCCATCAGAGCCATCAGAAAGGGCTCTCGATCGCACATCAATTGACTTATTTTGCATCTGTTTCTCTAAAGGCGTCTTGGAGGGCTGGATAGTAGATATGGTTTTGAGGTGTTGTGTTAAGGATGGCTAGAGGTCTTGATGGAAATGGTTCTCTTTATTTTGATGCAATTGTTTTATTGCTATTATGCAGAAAGCATAGTATTTGATAATGGTGTTTTGGGTCAGTAGGTCAAAAACATCGATTTGTGACCACTGAATTATCAGCAGAAGTGATTCCTTTGTTTTCACTGAGAATCTGTATTTGATGTTCTAAATTCTTCTTTAACAAGTGTAAACTTCACCTGGAGAAGCTTTCATTGGTTGGAAGTGCATTTTATTCTTTACCTCCCCAAAGGTGAGTCCTTTTGGATGAAATACATTTCTGTGGTTAGATTTGGAAATTTTCACAAAGGTAAATAGAAAGTTTTTACATTTTTGATGGTTGTATAACAACCATATCTAGAGACTTCTTCCATGAAAACATTTTAATAGAAAGTCTTTTAAATGAACAATGCACATTTTACACAATGTATTTGGTAATGGTGTTTTTCTAAACCAGAGGCCTTTAAAAACACCCAGAATTAGTGCATACTAGTACTGTTCTAGTTAACTAACTTAACATCTAATCCTCAGAAAGGCCCAGACACATTTTGGCCTTTACGAGTATCATGAGGTGAACTCATTATCTTGGGGAAATGATCACATGGCCTCTGAATAGAGTTTGTCTCCTCCAGTGGCCATTCCCACTTACCGTGGTGGGTAAGGCACTTAACCAGTCATAGCCTGATTCCTCACAACTAAGATGGCAATAGGGGTTGGTGTGGGGATTGACCATAACGGATATGACATTTATAATAATGGGTATAGAATTTCTGTCATGATTTTAATCTGACTATCCAGCATGGTGGCCACCTGCCATATGTGGCTATGGAGACCTTGAAAAGTGGCTAATACAGGTAAGAAACTGAATTTTTAATTTGATTTTACTTTAATTAATTTAGATTTATATTTAATTTAGACTTAAATAGCTACATGTACCTAATGGCTTCGAGATTGGAAAGCACAGTTAAAGAACGTGCCCAGCATGGTGTCTGCGTGTGGTAGGTGTGCAGTATTCCTGTTACAACCGTTGTTATTTTTGTTGTTACATTACCTTTGGAGAGGACTATTCTCCGAAACGTCATTGTTTGTGTTGCATACAAGGGTCACAGAACTAAAGGAGTCTGTAAACCGGGAGTCTGGTGGTGGTGTTTGGGTGGACCTCTGTCTCTGTCCCCAGAGGCCCAAAGAGAAAGTTACCAGCAAAGTAGGAAGGGTGTCCAGATGAAGAGAGCCTGGTCTTGAGCGTGTATTTCTGGTTCCCCAGGAAGCCATAGTAGAATGAACTTTCAGTGTTCTTGTCCCCAGGTAACTGAAAAACAGCATCTTTCATCTGCCACAAATGTACTTTTTTAGATAAGCATATAAATTATGAAGACTATGAAATGTGTATATAGGTTTAGATTTTTAGGAAATTTCTCTCTAATAGTATCTTTATATACTTGGGTATTTGGGGGTATTTTTAGCCATCAGAGTTGTATGACTCGGTTTATAAAGAGGAGGAATGGAAACTCACTTCTCAAACTCATAGCCAATCACTTCTTGTTCATAAACGTTTCGGACTCTGCGCATGTGGGAGAGGCATCAGCATGACTGTAAACCGCGGGGTGGGTCTGTGTCACTGGCGGGACAGACTGGGCTTACTGGAAAAGTCGCTCTGGTGTTTTATCCTTCTCTACGTGGCTTGACACTGCTTCTGTCAGGATAAGACATTTGTTTCGTGGACGCAGAGTGCACTCCTACCTTTTTAACACCAATTTATTTTTGAACATAAGCCATATAGTTGCATCCCATTCTCACCCCATGTGAACGTTGGGATCCTAAATGCTCCTGAAGAAGCTTAGTGTGGATGCAGTATCCTCAGCACCACTTGGCTGTCTATGCTTCATAGCTCCGTCCGCGTTGCACACCAGAAGTGTTTCCCTTGACACAAGTGTAGCTGGAATACACATCCCCTTGCACAAGGTCAAGGAATCAAGAAGCACAGCCCAGCCTTGTGCTTGGAGGCTCTGCCTTTGCTTCTCCACCCGAGCTGGCTCCCTGAAGTATTAAACAACGGTATTCTAATATCAGTGTCCCTGTTTTATTTGCTGTGACTTGCTGTGACTACGGTGATTTTAGTTACAGTAATTAGGTCACCCTTCATGGAGTCAGGCTATTTTAAGTGCCTCTTTAAGGAATATTGTTGCAGATCAGTAATTTTACAATTGGATGTTCTTGTGCAACTTTATTAAATGTAATCTGTCTTTTAAATGTTGCCCTTTTACAGTTATACATTTCTAATTGTTGCTGTAAGTGCATTATCACTTTGAAATTAATTAATTTTTCCATTTTGGCCGCCTGCAGTATAATAATCACTAATGAGAAACTCATAGGGATTAATCTCAGCACAGCGACCCCTACTGGTAAATCTGTGTCTTTGGCACCTTGTCCCCTTGAGGTCTGGAGGTCAGGACAGGTGGATGAGGAGTCTGTGAGGGAAACATTTGTCTCCCTTCCCACCAATTTTTGTAAAAATAAAAATAATAAAATGGGAATAGGATTTTTTTTAAAGAAAGCTTTACGCCCAGTGTGGGGCTTGAACTCACAACCCAGAGATCAAGAGTCACACTCTGTACCTACTAAGCCAGCCGGATGCCCTGGGAATAAGGGTGTTTTTAAATATTGTTTAAAAAATATACAGGATTCTTTAACTGCTTTTGAAACATCTTAAAGGAAACTAAAGTTTGACGGGAGCTTTCTGATAATGAAGTCACATCCATCATGTGTATTTTCCTGTCTTTCTAGCTTTCTTTTATGCCGTTAAAATACTCTAAAGTTGTATTTTGTGTATGTATGTATGAATATACATTGTAAGTGTATATAAAGTATTCATATATAGGTTTTTCTCCAAGTAATGTAATTCACAAAACCAGACCCAGTGATAGGAAAGATGTTCAAGGGTAATTTTGGCTGTTGGTGATTGTTGCCATGTGTGTTGACTTTAGATTCCTGCCATACTTCCAGGTAGGATGCGACTTGGCACTTTAGGCCAGACATCGTGATGCTTTATACCTCGGCATGTGTGTCTTCACTGATTCCTCACAACGGCTCTGCAATTTTAGAACCATTACCCTCCTCTTGTAGTTAAAAAGCACAAAGCACTTGCCCAGATCGCAGACCCTTCAGGGGCTCCTCCTGAGTGCACTTGTTCAGATCACCACAGCACCTCTGCCTTGTAGATCTCTCCTTGGGCACTTAGGTTTCCTTTTAAAATGTTTGAAAGTACCTTCATGAACTTAACCCTCAGCCTTCTTACCGCTCCCCCCCGCCCCCCCCAATAAACTTTCATTTCTGGTAAACAACATCTGAGCTCGCGTTCCCAGGTCCAAGCCAGCCCTTTGCAGATCGGTATGTAAATTTGAAGCTGAACACTGTCACGTGGCCTCTTAGGGTGTTTTGTGCGACCAAATATTTATGTTGGCAGGTAACAGTAGAAAGAATATCATGTGTTAGGGTAGCAAGAGCTTAGCAGATGTTTTAGGGAACTGCATTTTCAAATCATTTTACATTAAAATATGAGTTTGTAGAACTTCTGGAATGATTGAGTTATGTTTCCTGTGGCCGTGTAAAGCCAGTCATTGTGCTGAGTTTTAACAGATGTGCATCTACCCCGCTAATGGATGGACCGGCAACACTGGTTCTGTTGCAAAGTTATAAATTATAACTAGAAAAAGCACAAGATGTCATTCTTCTAACCTTTGCGAAAGCCAAGCTGAGTAATTCTGCCCTTGAATAACCCGCTGAGGGTGATTTATAGTTGTATAATTTAAAACATAATGAAGGAGATAATAGATGTTGATTTGTTCTTTAAATTAGTGTTTTAGAAAAATACTTCCCCCCATTCCCTTTAAATACCTGCAGCTGACTACACTGTAGATACGATCAAGGACAAAACCCTGTTCAAATCTTTACTGGTGCACTGGAGTAAAATGCAGGGGCCTTTTTCTATGTTGGGAGGAGGAGATACAGTTTTCACCGTAGAAATTTCAGCATATTCTTCACTAATGTAAATATTTTGGGACTCCCAAGTGAGGGTTGAATTCTCTTGCTGCTTTGCTCTTGCCAGTCCAGGTATGTCAGAAAACTAGACTCCTGAGACCCCACTGTGGTCACTTGACCTTTCCTGCAGAACCCCATAGAAGGACCTAGAGGCTGTGCTCTTTCTGCTGAGGTCACATCCCTGCGGCCTCACACATTCTTCTTACTTTCCAGGATTATCATTGGCATTGGTTTTATTAGTCACCTCTGATTCTGTCCAGAGCTTTAAAATTAACAGTGTTTGCTCAATTCAGAGTCCAAGGGATATGGTAGAGTAAAAAAGAACAAAGGATTTAGAATCATTAGGCCTGTATTCAAAACTCAATGTTTCCACCTCTTTTCATTATATAATTTTGAAATGCTTCAGTCTCTGTGAGGCTTATATTCTATGTCAGTTTTCATGTTTTGGGCTGTGGGTTATTAACACCCAGTTAAAAGTGTTTGGAATAATAGTGGTTTGTTTTTCCCATATATGCAGAAATCCAGAGGCTTCCAGGGGTATGTTTGGCTACTGCATAGGCAGCTCCTTTGTGATTGTCTTGGCTTTTCCCTCATGCTTATAAGATGGCTGCAGTAGCTCCAACCATTGCATCCTCTGTGATGAGGTCTGAAGTTAGAATGGGAGGGACGGGACCCCCTCTTTGCACATCTCCCTTCTTTATCAAGGAAGAGAACATTCTGTCTCAGAACCGTCCTCTGTAGCAGACTTTCCTTCAGCTCCCACTGGCTGGGATTGAGTCCCTTGTCCATTTCCTAGGTGCAAGGGAGGCTGGGAAAGTGCATTTTTTGGCATTTTGTATCTCTAGGGTGGGAGTTGAGATCTGGTGGCAAGAAAAAAAGGTGGGATAATGGCTTTTGAGCAGGCTCTGTTGAGTAAGTGTGCATATAGAGTTCCCTCATCTGTCAAATGGAAATGCTGTCTATTTTATGGGGGTCATGTGCTTGCTTCAGCAGCACATATACTAAAATTGGAACGATACAGAGAAGATTAGCATGGCCCCTGTGCAAGGATGACATGAAAATTCGTAAAG